ACAAGTTGGGATGACTTTAAAAGGGTAGCGGAGTTTTTTGAAGGACTTACAGAGGAGGTGGAGTTGGGGATCTTTGATTGGGAGAAAGCCTACCGGCAAATCCCAACCAGACCAGAGGAGTGGATATACTTAATGTTTAGAACACCGGAGGGTTGGATCTTGCTAGATTTGATGGTGATGTTTGGAGGAGTCGCAGGCTGGGGGAGCTTCGGAGGACCGGCGGACACGTGGAGAGCAATAATGAAACTGAAGTCTAAATTTCTGGAAGTTTTTAGATGGGTAGACAACCACTTATTTATAAGGTGGAAAGAGAGGACAGAGAAAGTATCGATGGAAGAGGTGGTGGAGGCGAGCGCGAAGTTGGGGGTGAAGACAAACGAAGGGAAGTGCTGTGAATTCAAAGAAGAGCAAAAGTATATAGGGTTCATATGGAATGGGAAGGAGAGGTCAGTGAGACTACCAGACGAAAAGAAGGAGGAAAGGATACAACAAGTAGGAGAAGCGTTAGAGAAAGCAACCCCACACACCTTTAAAGAGATAGAAAAACTAACCGGAAGACTAGTACACGTGACGTATACGCTGCCCCAAATGAAGTGTTTTTGTGCAAGCCTACACCACCTGATAGTGTCGTGGAAAAATGAGCTGGCGATTCAATATTTGCCGAGAGCGGTGAGAACAGACCTAGAGGAGTGGCAAGAAGTTTTGAGGAACTTCGAAAACCATAAGCTGATACCGAAGAAAGGGATCGACAATATCGGATGGGTCGGGGATGCGTTGACGGGATACGGTATTGGGGTGATAGTAGGGAAGTTTTGGACGCAGTTGAAGTTCAAAACAGGTTGGAATAGAAGAGACGAAGAGGGGATACAGAGAAGAATAGCATGGTCAGAGACTTTAGCGGTAAAAATTGGTTTGGAGATGGTGGCGATGCTGAGGAACACAAAAGGAAAGAGATCTTTGGCGGTGACAGATAATACAGGGACTGAGGCAGTCATACAGAATCAGAAGTCCAGAGATAGATTGGTAAACGAGGAATGGAAGAAGTTACAGAAGAGACTAACATCTCTAGGGTGTGAGCTAGAGGAGAGGCGTGTCGCATCTGGGGATAACAATGCAGACGAGCTATCAAGAGGAATGAGAGGAAACAAAAGTATCTTCTTCTATTTAAAGCCAACACTACCAGCCGATCTAGTCAGATTCCTGGAATACGAAGCGAAGAACGACAAAGAACTCATCTATGGGGAAAGAACATGTCAGTTTTGAGAAAGCGGTGAAGATAGAGGGGAAGGAAGGGGAAAAGGAGAAGGTGACAGGTCATTTGATTAGCGGAGCATGGACGGAGAAGACTTTGAAGGGTTATGGAAGGGCTGTGCAGAAATTCAAAGCCTATATTGAAAGTACAGGAAGAGAGTTCAGATACGAAGACCCGATGACAGAGAAAGATATATACGGTTTCATAGTGTGGGCGGGACCGTCAGAAGTGGAGATGAGGACAGGACCGGGAAGAGAATTAAAGCCAAAAACGATAGAGAAGTATTTGGCGGGCCTGAAAGCATGGCACATGACTAAAAATCACAAGGAGGTAAAAGTAGACAAGCAAATGGTTGACTGGTTAATGAAATTGACAGAGAGAGCAGAGGAAAAAAAGAAACTCACAAGTGGAGAAGAGGAGAGGGTAGAGAAAAGGCCAATTACAGTACAGAACCTTTTCAACATGGTGTCGGAGCTGAACGAGAAATCGGAACACCACGATTTAGCAGTGGTAGTGGCCTTGGTGGCCTTCTGGGGAATGGCACGCTTAGGAGAAGTGCTGAGGGAGACAATCGAAGAAGGTGCAATAAAGGTTGAAGATCTGACATTCAGCAAAGGAAAGAAAGGGAAGATAGCGGTGTTAAGACTCTGGAAGGCAAAGACAGCAAGGCCGGGAGAAGCGCAGTTCATAAAGTAAGCAACGTAGAGAGGAGGAGGAAAAAAGAGGAATGATACTGACAAGTGACAATGCGGCTTGGACAGACTGTGCAAACAGCA